TGTGTGATAAACAATTAAATACTTTATTATAAAGAACGAGAGATCTCTCTAAAGGTAAATGATATCAGAAAGAGTAAAAAGAGAAGAAATATATGTGAAACAGCGGGATGTGAACTTGGGTCTCCGCGGCCAAATGTCTTAACTGAATGAGCTATACCTTCATTCAACTAAGTGAATAGTAATATTTATTTATTATATAACTAAGAAACTATATAAAACAGAATTTACAGAAAGAGATACATATGCAAATAGGATTCTATATATCAGGAAAATGAATAGTAATGTGAACCTTTAGTTGCTTATAATTAATATCTGGACTCAAAAACTAGTTACTTTTAATGGAACACAATAGGCTGTTGGAGCCTCAGGGAAATTATATTCAGAAATGATTATATTAGACTCAGAGTTAGCTTACATTTTACAATTATTACAAAGTGTTTAGGAAAGATATCTAGTACAAAAAGCGCAAGATTTAAAGCAAAATAATTTATATTATTTGAAAAAGTTGTTTTACGTACATTTCATCATAATTTAAGTAAAACTTAGTAAAGCAAGGGAAACGTGTAGAATTAAGCACAATGAACTCAATCTTAAAAGAATAACTAACAGAAGAGAGGTTGTCACTATTATTAAGGTGACAAAAGATATGTAATATAGAACATGGAGGTCAAAAAATGCTTAAATAAAAAGAGTTTGATGAACAAAAGTTACAATGGCTGCGGGATGCGAACCCGGATCTCTGCGGCGAATTATCACGTATCTAACTGATTGAACTATACGATCTTATACTTAAATTTATATCTCATTAAAATTAAAAAACAATATTTTCTAAGATCTATACTTTGAAAAGCGTATTCAAACAGGACTCTACATACCTTTAAAATCTGCTAGAACTTTAGTAACGTGCACACTTTTAGAAATTATTGAAATTGATATATTTTATCAGAAATATGCTTAAGCTAAAGCATATTTTTGAGCTTCTTTTTACTATTTGCTTAAGCATATTCGAACCTGTTTCAAAAATTTCATATGCTTTAAAAAAAAAAACATGTATATTTCTACCCATCATTCTTATTTTTAATATACGTAATGAGTTCAAAAAACATCGTTATATATATTTATTATGGCACGTTTCGTAAGTTTATTTCCGTTAAGAATTCTTTCGTATGTTGTGATCCGAAATACTTTCGTTTCGAAAGAAATTTTATTTTTTATCAATATTTCTAAAAATAAAACCATAAAAATTTAATATGTTATTATACTGAAAATAAAAATTCATTATAAACATTTTGGGCTTTAAAGATGTTAATTTTTACAATTAAAATCAGTCTGGCAAACAAATTTTTTTTATAAACTTCAAAACGTCGTTTGGCGAAAATGTTTGTTTCGCAAGTGCGACTTCCGAAACCGCTACTTTCGTATGTTGCAAAATAGTTTTGTTTCGTATGTCAACTTGCGAAGTGCTAAATTTCGGAAGTGGCTTTTGCGAAATGAACATCGGCGATTTTAAATGTTTTGTAACATTCGGTACGAAAAAATGTAATTCCTCGTTCTCAATCTCCTTACGAAAGAATGTTGTTTTTCCGGAATTGCACGAAATCCTCCGGTTAACAACCCTAATATATATATATATATATATATATATATATATATATATATATATATATATATATATATATATATATATATATATATATATATATATATATATATATATATATATATATATATATATATATATATATATATATATATATATATATATATATATATATATATATATATATATATATATATATATATATATATATATATATATATATATATATATATATATATATATATATATATATATATATATATAAATCTGGTATAAAAAATATTTGTGTGTACATTCAATATTGTGTTGAATTATATTTTTGAAAATACTGTTTTATCTTTAAATTTGTTTTTGTTTAGCGTTTCATAGAAGTACTATCCCACTTTTATATGAAAAAAATTAATACAAGGCAGTATATAAATTATACTGAATAATAATTTTGTGGTAACAACAAGCATTATTAGATAAAAAAATTATTAAATGTTCATTGGGTGCAAGTTATCACTTTGTATAATAAAGTTTAAAAACTTAATCCAAAAAATACATGGAAAGTCCAAAGTTTTTACAAATATGCAACATGTTATGTTACGTCAATCGTGTTTAGTGTTTCTGATCGAGTTGCCTGTCGTTATGTTTATAAAGCTTACCATTTATGCACAACAAGAACCGAAGTCGACCACCTAATGTATTTACAATCAAAAATACAATCAAAGCCAGGACGGTTTGATTCTATTCACTTTTTTGACTGGTTTGTTATTGTTTTTTGTCAAATTGTAGGAGAATTCCTATTACTTAAATCAAAGTAATTTTTGCAGTGAAAAGGAATTTACTAAAGAAAATATCTTGTTGAGAAAGAAACAGTATCTTGTTCTATAACTGATAACTCTACCCATTTATTGCTATCTCCTAATGTTGCATTTTATTGATCTCTTAAAAAATATTGTAAGAAAATACTTGATCAATTGGAAACCTTTTGTTTAAAAAATGCACAGACTATTACAAAAAATAAATCTTCTTTGTTCTTTATTTACTTATAATCATTATATTTGTTAAATCAAAAGGTAATCAACAACTTAGTTGCTTAGTGGTTTTGAAAAAAATATAGGAGTTACCCATTAGATATAAGTATCATCTTCAATCGTTGGCCAGATAGTTATAAGTTTAGTTCGCCGAGCAATAATTAATGTACTTAAACAATTTTTTCATGTTAATGGAAAGAAAAAAGCAGACTCAAAGGGGAAAAAAAAATTACTTTTGATTTTGTTAAAAATATTTATTTAGAGGATTTTTTGGCAAAATGTAAAGATGTTCCACTTGCAGAAGTCTAGAAGTGAAACTGATGTAAATGAGACTTTTTTTATGCTGGTCCACTTAAAAAATACTCATTTAAACAAAATAAAATACTAAATGGGTGTTTGTTATGAAAAAATGTTATATTATTTTAGCAATAATAAATTACTGTGAAACTAGAATGTTGTTTTTATTGAATTTTAAAACAAAACAAGGCGTTTTTGAAAAGGTTTTGCTTTTACAAAAAAACGCATTCGAAGTTACCCCATTTGCGGGGTAACTTTGAATGACTATTTAAATTAATATTATACAAAATACTTTTAATTAAATATTATTTTGGATTTGAATTATGTAAGAGTCAATCTTAGCCCCTATATTCATTTTGTTAAATTTCAAATATTGTCAATAGTGAAGGAAGAGCAAGTAAAAATATCTCAAAAACGTTCAAAGTAACCCCGTTTTACGGTAACAGTTTTAGTGCATGACTCAAGCATGTAAAGTAATTTAACTTTGGGAGATTTCACCATTATTCCATCAGCATAACAAAATGAGAGAAAAGGATGGAAACTGTTTTTAACACTTTCTATTCTTTCTTTTATTTTGTTTTAATTACCATATTACTTTTATTTCAAAAGAGAAATAAGCCATACAGGTCCTGACTTTGCCCTGCCTTTTGATGGTAGATTTTATATTTTCTTAATGATCTAAAATTCTATATTAACTTGTAAAATATTTAGACATATTGATGCCCAGGAACCCACTTCTTGGGTTCTTGGGAACCAAATGTCCTCAATAAGCACCAGCTGACAAATCATTTCTTAACGAGTGCAACTTAATTGTTATAAGGTGTGAAAATTTTTGATAAAAATGGTATAAAAAATCTGTTTCTGGATCCTAGACTATTGAAGACCCATAACTTTAACAAAATAAAAATTGGTTCTAGATTTGTTTTGATTATTTTTAGCGGGACAGTTTATTAAATTGTGCCAAAACTCTAGTAATTCTGAGATTTTCGGTTATTTCAAAATGATGTTTTGACATTTGAATTACCAAAATCATAACCTAATACTAGCACTTAAACAGTATCAGAAAATTGTTAAAGTTGGTGGTCTTGATTTTGTATTTTCTGAATTAAGAATAACTTTAAAAATAACACTTTATACATTTAATTCGCCTGTTGATGGATAATAAAAGTTAAGAAATATCTGCCATCTGCATTCCATCATTTGTCGTTCCCGCACCTCCTGGTCACATGTTTTCTAAATGAAAGGCAAATAAAAGAAATATTTTTAACTGATGTAAAAATTTAGTTTTTTAATTCCTTCAATTTATCTGACATTTTTTCTGCTCTAGAAACTTTACCATATATTACATTTAAACAACAAATATTTTAATGAGATTAACATAGATAACATTATCAGAACCAACATTCTTTAATAACAAATAATAATAAACTCTATTTACAAATAAACTCCATTTACGAATTAACTTGCATATAAAATGCAACGTGCTTTATTTCATTACAATTCAGCATCCTCAAGACCAAATCCTCATTCAATATATGTAAAATCTATGACTACATAAATAACGCGTAAACATTCGTGCGCTTGTAGTTAAATAAATCAGTTGATTTAAATTTAATGCTATAATGTGTCTTTTTCGATAAACTCCAGTTCGGCTGTTACTATTATTTCTAGATTGTGGACGTGGTAGACGTACAAAATCAGAACTTAGGTTAGAAAAATGTTTCTCCTAATTATTTTAGGCTTAAATTTTAAGCTATGGAATTCAATTTAAAAAGTTAAAAAACGTTATAAAAGTTGATCAACGCCATCGATCGTTCAGCACTGTTTATAACTTTAAAAACTAATCGAAATGCCTTTTTTAAAAAAGATTGGAGTTAAAAAAATTATTATTTTATAAACTAGCAGTAAGCAACCCGTAATACGCGTTGTTAGTAAATAAAATTAAAAAAAAAACCGCGTATAGAAAAGCCTACTATAGATACCGCGTATAGAAACTACTTTAAAATAGAAAAGCCTAGAAAATGACGTAACTCGACTAATATTAAATTAGCGTATTCATATTATTAGATTGAAAAAAATCATGCTTACTTTTACATATGTTCTAGTTGATTAGTTTGAGTTTCGACAATATATTTAAATTATGTTTTTATGCAATTATGTTATTTATTTCAAAGACACAATAATGTTTATCAAGAATTTCTGAAAGTGAAAGTTGTTGACTTCAACTATTATTAGTTGAACTTAAGGTTTGCATAACCTTATATAACAGTTTTTTTGTTAAAAGAACATCCACTATTGCATCGTGACTTTTAATAACAGGTTTATCTATTTTTAAGTCCAAAAAATCATTTTGGGTAATACAAAGTCCTAAACTGCTAGAAAGTGACTGTAACTTGTAACTTTTAAACTGGGGAAAAGCTTTACGACTTAACTGGAGAGTGTCAATTAAAACAAGATTTTTTTCGACAAGACATTTTCTAAATGAGCTGTCAGCACGAGTAAACTCTTCTAAAAGAAATTTCCAATCAAAAGCTACATTGTGCCCACATAAATATTTTGTTTCTCCAATAAAATCAATAATTTCTTTGAGATAATCGCCGAAGGGAGCTTTTGTCATCAACATATCAGGGCAAATGCCATGAACTCGAAAGGCGCTCATTTGAGCCTGTCTTGATACACAAGGATTAAAGTAGTTGTCAAAAGTCGTCATTAGACCATTGTTTTGAATCTTCAACATTGCTAATTGAACAATACGATTGCTTGACGCATTTAATCCCGTTGTTTCAACGTCAAAAATAATTACATTTTCTTGAAAATATTCTTGTGATGTTAAATCTAACGAAACTGACGCCATTTTTTTTGTTATTAGTTTGATTATTATTTTGATTCTTAATAAATATTTTCTCAAGCGAATCAAGTTGTTTTGTTTTACTAATTACTAATAACATTAAGTTTCTCTTCCACGAGAGTGAATTGGATTTATTTTTATTTATTTGATTTGTAATTTTATCTCAACAAACACTTTATAATACTACTAACGTCTATAACGCTTTGAAAATTTGTTTTCATGGTTTCTACTTGTTGTTGTCTCGATGTCTAGATATAAAGACCAAAAGATAATACAGAAGATGTGCATTGGTAAATTTAACATTATTTCAAAGAATATAATTTTTTAACGAGTTTGAAAATCAAAACTTCAAAATCATAGTTCACACTACTTTGGCGAAGAGACAAAAAAAATCCTAAAAAATAAGAAAAAACTTAATTTCTGAGTAAAAGTTTAAAGGTCAATAATGTTTCAAACAATGAAAATTTAAAAAAAAAATAAAAAGAAAAAAAAAAATAATGCTTTTAAAATAAAATGTTTCTATGATATTGAATGAACACAAAGACATCGTTATTTGACTATATGTTTAAAAATTAAAAAATTTAAATAAATATTGTCTTGGTTACATAGTTATAGTATTGCAAAGGTATTTGAGGTTTGAGCAGCCGTGGCGCAGTGGTAGCGCCACGGCTAAATTTATTTTAAACTTTTTATTTTAACGGTTTATTCAGTCATTACAGATTCCAAAAATATAACGTTTGTGGTAAATTAAATAATTCTTGAAAAAGAAATTTGCGTTTTTATGGGGTAACGCGATCTGTTTTGTCCATAGCAACACCTTAGTCAATTTTATTTCGTCTATCTATTTTATGCCCCAAAAGTTCTAATTTGATCTAGAAATTACATTGTCCAGTTTTTCCTCCTTGTTTTATGGTGTTCTACTATCTAAAACCCAAGGTTTAGTACTATGTTGACATTTGCAATATTGGTGACAAGTTAACATGTCATAGATGGGCTGTGATGATTTAGTGGAAACAGTTTTCTGTTTTAACTATGTAAAGCAGCGTTTTATGAATCATATCAGAGTATTATTTAATATTCATTTATTGTAGTTTGTATAAGCTTTTGAGGTGTCTATTTTAGTGGTTCATATATAAAACTGTTTTTTTTTATAGAATTGACAGTTTATAACAGTCTAAGTCTTTTAAAAATGGCACATTTAACTCATTGATAAATAAAAGTAGCTTGTTTATTAAAACCACATAGTGCTTTTGTTTTTAATAAAAATATTTAAATTTTCAATAAGAAAATTTTTAAAAAAGACAAGTGTATATTTTAAAAAAGACAAGTGTATATTTTTTCTGTTTTAGTGGTAAAAACAAAACTTTTTCACTAAAACAACACGTCTTTTTTTTTTTTATATTATGATATTGTTTTGTAAGCAAATTTAAATTGATGTAAATTGCTGTTAATGCCCATTAAAGCACAGAATAGAAATAATAAATGAACTTTTTCGTTGCAAGAAATATCATTTTTTAGTATGAACTTTTGTTAACTGTAATCAGCTCAGCCAATTGTGTGCCTTGTGTTTGAAGAGTTAATTGTTAGTTGGGTTGCCAATGTTAAAAAAATATGTTGGTGCTTTACTACGGTTTATATATAGCCAATATTGTACAACAATGTTGGCTATATATATCAAAATTTTGACATTTTATATAAGCCCCATGTTGTTAACAATATTTAGTCAATACTAAAATAAATATTGTACCAATATTGTACCATTATTTCTTGATACTAGAGTATAGTATAAACTAGAATTAAATAGATGTTTACAAAAATATAAAGAATAAAAAAAGGTCATATCAACTAATAGACAATACCATTAATAAAATAAATTTATTATAATTTATCAAAATTAATAAAACAGAATTGTTACGAAATACTAAATTTTATAATAATTTTAGATTCAAACAAATAAAAAAGCGGAAAATATGTGATTATAGATAATAATTATTGTCAATTTTTTTTTTAATTTACAGGGTAAATTGAATAAAGGTTAATTAAACTTATAGGGTAAATTAAATAATTAAATTTTTTTAATTTTTTATTCTTTTTAATTTATTTTAAAAGAACACTTGAAACGAGATAAATTACTATCTGTGATTAATAAACACCGTTTTAATTTAGTTTTAAATTAATTAAGAAAAATTTTCTTCTTGGAAACAATGTTTGGAAAAATTTTCCACAAAAATCCACGATTCTGAATTGAAAAAGAACTTTCTGAATGAAACTTCTAATGGTATTAAACTCTATTGATCTTGCCAATGCAATTTGAGATTTTTTTTTTGTCAATACATTTTGAGATTTATTTAATTCTTTATTTACTACTTTAAAAAGTCTTTCAATATTGTAATTTGCAAATAAACTTAATGTTAAAGATAAATTATTTATGTATAGTAAGAAACGTAAAGGCCCTAGAAATGAAGCCACAAGTTTCTATACTGAGACTACAAATCAAAGCTACATCTGCAGCCTATTAATTTTCAACTTAATGTTATTATTTAAAAACTTTGGCATTTAAAATTCGCCGAATGGTCACACACGAGCAGTGAACGCCTGAGGGAATAAATGAAGAACACTAGAATAAAGGAGAATTATTTTTTGAACGAAGCATATTTTGACAGTTGTCAAGACAAAAATAAAGATTAATAGAGGAATATTTAAAAATAAGTAAGACAGACAATTCACCTAAAACAGTATTAAACAATAATAATAATAATAATAATAATAATAATAATAATAATAATAATAATAATAATAATAATAATAATAATAATAATAATAATAAAAATTGTTATATAAACACTTATATGAATGAAGATATACTACAAATATATCACCAAACAAAAACTTACATATAAAAATTAAAAAAAAATATATGCTTACAACATCGGAAAGCCTTAGAATGGAAAAAAAACAAACATGAATACTGATGTGTAAACATAATTAGTGTAGTAATAAACATCTCCTCAGAGTCGCGTCTATTATTACTGCCGTTTCGATGAGGATCAGCACTTATAACTAGTTTATCCCGTCAGACAAACGTCAACGCCACTTGTGCTTTACCCCGTGACTATTTCTATACTGAGACTGACATTTTTATTTGTCTTTACGCTGCGAATCTTTCTATACTGACTCTTTCTATACTCAGACTGCAAATCAAAACTACATCTGCAGTCTATTACTTTTCAACTTAAAGTTATTTTTACGTTTTTGTTTACGTTCTTCCAATAACAATTTTCAACGGATATGTGAAACTTTAAAAACAGTTGATTAGTCTATTATAAGTATTATAAGCGGAAAATGGAATATTTTCCAAAATAATTATGCTGCATCCAAAATTGTTCCGAATTAACACTTTTTAGGGATTTCTACATTATCCGATAGATATTTGAGCACCCGAGATTTTTTTTAAAAAACGCAGAGGTTTTAAAAAAGTTGCGAAAAAATCTCGGGTGCTTGTATTACCTAGACCACTTGATAATATGAGTACTTTAAATTAACTCAAAAAAAAATAAAATTAATTAAGTAAAAAAATATCAAAATATTAACAAAACTTACAATTAAAAGATAAAACTTTACGCCATTTTTTATTAAAACAATAATACTTTGTTTTACGCAACAAAAAAAAAATTAATTTGTTATTTTTTTAATTTTACTAACTTAAACCTTTAAACAATAAACATGCAAACTTTTGAATTTAGAGAAAGATATTTAATACTGTTAAAATAATAAAATTTTATACTATGTTTTGCTTTTATTAAAAAACTACTGCAATTTTAGGACTTTAAAGTAGGTAATTTCGAGGAAAGAAATTTTGTCATTTTAGAATGGTATTTTTAAATTAAGTCAAAAATAAATGTTTCTTTGCATTATATTCCAAATAAAAATGTAACGGATTTCTTGGTAATATATTTTTCTTTATGATAAAATAAATATCTATATTTCAACATCAAAATTTATCGCCACAGAATTTTTCATATGTTGAGAACTGCTAATTACTGCGCATAAATTTACACTAATTATACTGCTTCTTGTTATCCCCTCATAAGGTCGATTCGAAAAAATTCAAAGCATCTTGAACTTTCCTGCTTACATCTTAGAAACCTTTTGGTATGCTCATTACCTACTCATAATACACGAATCTACTCTAATTATAGTTATGTAACAATATGTTATGTCATATTATTGTTAAGCCATGAAATAAAATGAATTAAAAAAAAGTTAGTCATATGCGCAAATTATCTACTTTACGTATACATATTGTAAACAAGAAATCCAAGCAATCAAATCTTTTTTTTCAATTAATTTCAAAAAAATTGTTCCTTCGTATTTGATCATTATTACGAGATGCTTAATATTTGTTTTAAAAAAAGTTTCAGGTGATATCGGCTCACATGATTTCTTGTGAAATCATATTAAATCGAATTCTTTGCTGTACCGTTTAGTAAATAAAAGTAACAACACAATTTATTTGTTTATAACCAGTTAGAAAAAAAATTGTAATAATAATATTAAAAAAGAAATAAACAAGCGACCGTCGAAGTTAGATTTGTAGCCGATTAAATTGTACGTGTAGTAGGGCCTGGTCTAGCGTCTAAGCTTCAGCCTATGACACATAATCTATAAGGCTGCGTTTTTCTCTTTTTTAAAATTACAACATTTGTCTCGGTTTAAATCAGCAACCATTTCTTGTTTTTCTTATTAAAATTCAATTACCTATGATTTGTTATTAAGTCCATTCAAACTCAGTCACCGTTCATTTATACTTTTCGTTTTTATTTATTTACTTTTCGCAAAAGTCAGAGCTTTGGAATTCTCTCCCGTGACTTTTAATTTACCTTGATTATCAGACTTATCAAGAGTTTTTTTTAGTATCATTAATGTTTTAATACCAATAATGATCACTTTATTCCATACATTGAGTCCTTTTATTGTTATTGAGAACTTGGTAGTACCATATATAGATTTGGGTTGAACATCGTTGTTACTCAAATATTTAGTAAGATTTTTATGCTGAATTTTATTAAATTTGGTCTACGTTTGATAATAACCTAACTGCACGTTAATGCTTGTTAAATATTTTTTCATTGGTAAGAATGAATAAATTTGAGACAAACGGAGAATGGTTTCTACATTAGTAGTAC